GTGGAGAGCTGATTGACAGAGAAGAGGCTCCGGCGCCCCCCTACCTGGCGCGCCAAATGTCGGATGTGCGGCTCCGGCAAACCCTTAAGGTTTGAACACTTGGGTGCGCATGAAGTCTTCCCCTCCTACCGATCTACGCTCTAGCTCGCTAAGATCTTGCAGACGAACTCGACGAACTCACAACACAGAAAGACACGGGGTTTATACTGGTTCGGGCCACCGTTGTGTTGTAATACCCTACTCCAGTGTGGTGGTGGTGGATTGCCTCTTGGGTTCATGATGAACAATACAAGGGGAGAACAACCTCCTGGGGTTGAGGTGTTCCAGCGCGTGTGAGCTTGTGGTGTGTCACTCGATCTCTGATGATCTCCCAGGATCTCTCCCTCCCTACTATGGTGGCTAGTCCTATTTATAGAGGCCCTGGTCCTCTTCCCAAATATCGAGCGGGAAGGGAGCCAACAATGGCGGGCTAATTTGAAGGGGGACAGCTAGTACAAGCTATCCTGACAAAAGTAGTCTTCGCCTGCACAAAGCTTTGGTGGTGACGCTGCTTTGGGCTCCACGATAACCTTTGTCTTGTAGTCCATGGTCTTGGTCTTGTTGCACCGGAATGGCAACCTTTGCCTGATGCATCGGTACTCCGCGGCTGCGCTTGCCCCCTTTGCACCAAAGAGGAATCAAGGACGCTGCGCGCGCTGGCGCCCGCCTGGCGCCTGCCTGGTGTCGATCGTCATGGCTCACGTCAAGAGAGCCTCGTGAGGTTCGCCTTGCCTTGATATCTCCTCTCCTCGTGAGCCTGCCTAGCTAGGCCACTCCCAAGAAGGTCTTGCGTCATCCGGTGCTACACTTGGGTGAACACTAACTACTTTGATATTTTGAAGTGAGAGATCACCCTAATAAAAAGCGACTACCGTGCAATCATGAAGGGTGCATCAAAGAGGGATAAACATCTCAGGCAATTCATAATAGCATGATATGGTATAGCCCCTTCTGACAGAGAAGTCTTTCATTTCTTCGTCTTCGGCATTCGCATCGGTGTTTACCTTCGCAAAGATTGCCACCACCTTGTCGATGCAACAGATAATATTGCTATCTCTATAGCTAATAAAATAAGTGCATTACTTAAGGTTGACACGCAGGTCATTAAAGTGACAATCATATGGCTCCAGCCATCATGCCGAATCATGACACGCATGTCATGTTAATCAAATTACATCATATAGTCATCTCATACATAATCAAATTAGTATGAGCACTGCTATACCATATCACATGCACATCCTGCAAAACCAAGTTAGACGCCTCTAATCGGTTTACGCAAAATTTTATTTTACGTGGCTTCTAAGATTTTGACTTAAACCGCAGCTACCAACGTTCAGCATCAAGTATGATAGTTCATGTTGCTAGATTAACTTTGCGGGGTGTATGAATCACGGGATAATAAAATCTCGAACCCCATACTAAACTTCGTCATACACATGACCCCCGTGCAGATCATATCTGCATGACACCGAGAGGGCCCAGAGATATCTCTCCATTGTCGGAGGAGCAAATCCCAATCTTGAGCTATCAAGTTACTTGACACACTTTTCCATGAACCCGTAAGCCGCCGTATTAGCCACCCATTTACGGATGACGTTTAAGAAACCCCAAAGTTCATGAAGCAAGTATGAAGAAACTCGATACTCTCATGGTCTAAGGAATTATGCAAACATTAACTATCTCTTTGTTATTATCTATTAACTTGTGACGAATGTATCTCATAACAAAACATCAATTCGGGTCGATTCAACACTAATGTTCTTCTAACATTGTTCCCTCAAAGTTGCTAGCATAGACATGCCCATGATTAGGAAAACAGAACCATCATGCAACACTTGAGCTAGTCTTAGAGGCTAGACAAGGAATACATTTTACCGTTTATTATTCAACACGTGCATATGAGTCTTCCTCCGAGCCTCGTGGTTATTGCAGACTCGAGAACCATAGCAGTTGTAGCATGAAACATAAGCATAATTATGAACTTGGAGATAAATAATATCATTTATTATTGCCTCTAGGGCATATCTCCTACACACCGCACACGGCTAAAAGCAATCAACTTGTGTGTTCTAGGGTGCCCCCTGCCCCCATATAGAAAGGAGCAAGGGGGGAGGCCGGCCGGCCCTAGTGGCGTGCCAAGGGAGGAGGAATCTTCCTCCTAGTAGGAGTAGGATTTCTCCTTTCCTAGTCCTACTAGGAGGAGAAGGGGAAAGAAGGAAAGGAGAGGAAGAGGAGAAGGAAAGGGGGGCCCTCCCTAGTCCAATTCAGACTCCCAATAGGGAGGGGCGCGGCTTCCCCTTGTGGGTTGCCTCCCCTCTTCCCTATGGCCCATGTAGGCCCAATCTTTCCCCGGGGGGTTCCGGTAACCCTCCGGCACTCCGGTTTTCTCCGAAATCACCCGGAATGCTTGCGGTGTCCGAATATAGTCGTCCAATATATCAATCTTTATTCTCGACCATTTCGAGACTCCTCTTCATGTTCGTGATCATATCCGGGACGCCGAACTACCTTCGATACATCAAAACACATAAACTCATAATACCGATCGTCACCGAACATTAAGCGTGCGGACCCTACGGGTTCGAGAACTATGTAGACATGACCGAGACACATCTCCGGTCAATAACCAATAGTGGAACCTGGATGTTCATATTGGCTCCCACATATTCTACGAAGATCTTTATCGGTCAAACCGCATAACAACATACGTTGTTCCCTTTGTCATCTGTATGTTACTTGCCCAAGATTCGATCATCGGTATCTCAATACCTAGTTCAATCTCGTTACCGGCAAGTCTCTTTACTCGTTCCGTAATGCATCATCCTGTAACTAACTCATTAGTCACATTGCTTGCAAGGCTTATAGTGATGTGCATTACCGAGAGGGCCCAAAGATACCTCTCCAAAACTCGGAGTGACAAATCCTAATCTCGATCTATGCCAACTCAACAAACACCATCGGAGACACCTGTAGAGCATCTTTATAGTCACACCGTTACGTTGCGACGTTTGATAGCACACTAAGTGTTCCTCCGGTATTCGAGAGTTGCATGATCTCATAGTCATAGGAACATGTATAAGTCATGGAGAAAGCAATAGCAGTAAACTAAACGATCATCGTGCTAAGCTAACGGATGGTTCAAGTCAATCACATCATTCTCTAATGATGTGATCCCGTTAATCAAATGACAACTCATGTCTATGGTTACAAAACATAACCATCATTGATTCAACGAGCTAGTCAAGTAGAGGCATACTAGTGACACTCTGTTTGTCTATGTATTCACACATGTACTAAGTTTCCGGTTAATACAATTCTAGCATGAATAATAAACATTTATCATTATATAAGGAAACATAAATAACAACTTTATTATTGTCTCTAGGGCATATTTCCTTCGATTCACTCTTATGAAGCAACAAGAAAAAGAGATCACTCGAGGATCCAATATCTTATTCCACGAGGGAAATATCCTCAAAATCCTTGATTTAGTTTCGAGTAAGATGGACTATGGATCTAAATAAAAAAATTCCGGTGTTTGTTGTGCTGACATGATTAAAAATGAATATATCAAAACAATTCACGCAAAAAAGCAAACATAGTCTGCTGGCTACGCACGCGAGCAACGAAGCGAAGAAAAATGGTTGCATCTACGCATCGTGCACAGAATGGATGCATCTACCCGGACATAGTTTGCTGGCTATGCACATGAGCAACAGAGCTTCCGCCCCCGCCCTTGCCTCCCAACCCTACACGCCACATCTTTCCGCCGCCACCACACTCCCCCTCCTCTTCTCCATCCAGTAGTCTCATCGGCGGCAAGAGGAGTGTGTGTGTGTATGTATGTGTGTGGAGGTGTGTGTGTGTGGGGGGGTGTCTTTTATTTTAAGATTTTTTTGCTTCTCTCGCGTCATTGATGAGTTGATGGCGACAATAGCATGTTAGAATAATGTCTCTTCTGTCTCTTCCTACCTTGACGATGTATCATCCGGCATCAGTGATGGGCATATGAGAGTTGGTCCCTAGATTTGTCGGTTCCCTTCAGATCTTGCTAGCTCGTGTGTCTTTTCAAGAAGAGCTTTTGGCTGACTATTAGTGTGGCGACTTTGACATCTTTTTCTATGTTGTTTTGTCGCTTAGTCCAGTTTCTCCAATCCTCTGAACTAATGGTGATGGATTGTATGCATATTCCACGTAGGGTGCTGCTTCATCGATTTATAGATCTCGTCTCAAGGACGAGCAACTATTGCGGTCTTCAAAGCTTAGTATGACAAGGGCGTTTGCAGGTGTCGCTTTTTCTTGCTGTTGGCTCGGTGCAATTTTCAATCTTCAACGAGAGGTGTACAATCGAGAAAACTAGTATGATTTTTAATGTAATTTTATTTTTTACTGACTGTTCTACGTCTGTATTCGTCTTTATTTTTCTCGATATTAAGCAGATCGCATGTCAATATTAAAAAAAAAGAACAAAAATGGCTGCATCTGCATCTGCATCTGCACATGGTGCACATGCTTACTTTCATCGACATGGCTCCCCTCGAGAGTTCCTTGCTTCCAAAGCAAAATGCCTCGAAATACTAATCATGCGTACGGATGCGAATCTCCAGTTTTGAATTTTGCCTTTGCAACCGGAAGCAAGAGGGATCTCGATCCAGCGCCGCACGGACAACAAGGCAAACCACGACCTATTGCTGTACGAACCAATAATTCTTTCATCATTTCCACGATCCATGGATCGCCATGGACGTCAGGTATGGCCTATGCAGGTTAAGCCTTCTAGATGAAGATGAACCACGCAATATATAGGCCGCCGTGCAGGATGGTGCCACACAACACACATCCAATCAACGCACATCACTTCCCCTTATAACAGAGTTAAACCATGGAGAAGGCATACATTGCCATCCTCTCCTTCGCCTTCCTCTTCCTGCTCCACTACATTCTAGGCAAGGTCAGCAATGGCAGGCGCAGCAAGGGCCCCGTCCATCTGCCGCCGAGCCCCCGGGCCATCCCATTCCTCGGCCACCTCCACCTCCTGGAGAAGCCGTTCCACGCCGCTCTGTGCGGCCTCGCCAAGCGCCTCGGCCCGGTCTTCTCGCTGCGCCTCGGCTCGCGCCGCGCCGTGGTCGTCTCCTCGGCGGAGTGCGCCAGGGAGTGCTTCACGGAGCACGACGTGATCTTCGCCAACCGGCCCCAGTTCCCCTCGCAGCTGCTCGTGTCCTTCGACGGCATCGCGCTCTCCACGTCCAGCTACGGCCCGCACTGGCGCAACCTCCGCCGCGTCGCCGCCGTGCAGCTGCTCTCTGCGCACCGCGTCGCCTGCATGTCGGGCGTGATCGAGGGCGAGGTGCGCGCCATGGCGCGCCGGCTTTTCCGGGCCTCCGTGGCGTCCCCCGGCGGCGCCGCGCGGGTCGAGCTGAAGCGGAGGCTCTTTGAGCTCTCCCTCAGCGTGCTCATGGAGACCATCGCCCAGACCAAGGGGACCCGGTCGGAGGCCGACGCCGACACGGACATGTCCGTGGAGGCCCAGGAGTTCAAGAAGGTGGTGGACGAGATCATCCCGCACATCGGCGCCGCCAACCTGTGGGACTACCTGCCAGTGCTGCGGTGGTTCGACGTGTTCGGAGTGAGGAACAAGATCCTTGCCGCGGTGAGCAGGAGGGACGCCTTCATGCTGCGTCTCATCGACGCCGAGCGCCGGAGGCTTGAAGACGGCGGCGCCGAAGGCGACAAGAAGAGCATGATCGCCGTGTTGCTCACTCTGCAGAAGACGGAGCCGGAGGTGTACACCGATACTATGATCACGGCTCTCTGTGCGGTAAGTCTTCCAATAACACTCGGTGAATTCTCTGCAGAATTACTCACGTCACGATCTCATCAATAACACTCGTTTTCTCACTGAACTCTGTGCAGAATTTGTTTGGGGCTGGGACGGAGACCACGTCGACGACGACGGAGTGGGCGATGTCGCTGCTGCTGAACCACCCGGCGGCGCTGAGGAAGGCGCAGGCCGAGATTGATGTGGCCGTGGGGACCTCCCGGCTGTTGACCGCCGACGACGTGCCGCGGCTCGCCTACCTGCAGTGCATCGTGAGCGAGACGCTGCGGCTGTACCCGGCGGCGCCGATGCTGCTGCCGCACCAGTCGTCCGCGGACTGCAAGGTGGGCGGCTACAACGTGCCGAGCGGCACGATGCTGATGGTGAACGCGTACGCCATCCACCGGGACCCGGCGGCGTGGGAGCGGCCGCTGGAGTTCGTCCCGGAGCGGTTCGAGGACGGGAAGGCGGAGGGGCGGTTCATGATCCCGTTCGGGATGGGCCGGCGGCGGTGCCCCGGGGAGACGCTGGCGCTGCGGACCATCGGCATGGTGCTGGCCACGCTGGTGCAGTGCTTCGACTGGGAGCGCGTCGACGGCGCGGAGGTGGACATGACGGAGGGCGGCGGGCTCACCATCCCCAAGGCCGTGCCTCTCGAGGCCGTGTGCAGGCCGCGCCCGGCCATGCGCGACGTGCTTCAGAGCCTCTGATGATCCAACTTCGTTCTTGGCATCATAAAATGCATGGACTGGTGGCGTGCTGATGTAGTAGTAGTAAATAAACTTGTGACCTTGTGTGAGCAGAGTCAAGCTAGCTATCATCATATGTAAATTACAGGTACGTGTCAGGGTTTATGTAAGACAGTTTGTCTAATTCATATCTACTAGATGTTTCCTAAAGATGTCACATCTAAGCTCCCATAAATAAAGCAGCAACAAAAAAATAAAAAAATGCTGGGACAAAAAAAAATAGACTATAAACATAGTGGATATCAGGTTAGGTGTGACATAACTATGTCACATCTAGATGTGTCCTAAACAGACCCTTTGTAAGAACTAGCTAAGAGCAACTCTAGCAGACCCCGCATCCGACCGGCCCGCAAAACGTGTTTGCAGTTCATGGAAAAATGCCTTTGCGAGCCGGCGCGGACGGCCGCAGTTGCAGACCCCACATAATGGACCCGTAAAAAGGGATATTCGCGGAATATGCTTTTTTACGGGCCGGCTTTGCAGGGTCTGATCTGGCGCAGCTCCTCCTGACCCGAAAACCCTAAATTTACACCTTAATTTGATCTAGCATAATGTATTTCTTTACTTTTTCAACAACATTGGATACATAAGACATCACCAAATCTTTGCTAGAATAGCAAGACCAAAAAAACAAGAACCACAAGTATGCATTTTAGAAGATTTCCAACTTCCATAACTCCTCCCACAAGTTGGACTAATATCTTCTCCATGCATTCATTGTTTATCTGCGGAATCTTGATCTTGCATTCTTCTTTCTTCATCTTTCGTTCGAAAGAAGTAGGCGTTGCTTCCCCTCTAGTTGCACATGCAGCCGCATCATTGCCTTCGATTCTACTAAGGAGTGCACCAACATCTATTAAGTTTCTTTCTATCAATAAATCAATGTATTGGTCTTCCAAAAATCAAAATGAGCATTCATCTTCCTACACAAAAGAATGAGCATGTTCAAAGAAATGAGCTATTGCAATTGAACCAAAGAAAGAGCTATCAAAATGAGCTACCGCAAGTGCACGTACCCCGTCGTTTTCGCACTTGAAGAACATCCATCTGGGGTGCTTCGGCGTGCCCGAGGTTAGCCGCAGCACTGTCCGCGTGCAGCCGCAGCACTGTCCGCGTGCAGTCGCCGCACTGTATGAGCGACATCGGCGAGCCAAAGAGCCACTGCGCGAGTGCCGAGCCTGGTGGACGGCCGGACGAATCCATGCCCGCAAACCGTCGGCGACAGCGGGAGGACGAACCCGTACCTGCATGCGGCGATGCGCCCTTGCCGGGGCTGTGGGAGATGCTCCCCGACCACTCCATCGCTTGGCGCAGCCACCGGCGACCGGAAAAGCCAAATCCGGCGGCTCGCGATGAAGTTCCGCAGATCCGCAAAATCCGGCGGCCCGCCGGCGCAAGGGGGGAGAGGGGAGGCCTCGTGCGTGTAGCGGCCTTTCGGCGAGCTCCTGCCGGCTGCTCTCGCCGGAATCTTGGGTGGCGGCCCGGCGGCGACGCGAGGGGGGGAGGGGAGGTGGTTGGTGGGGAAAGCGCGGGCTGAAATGTCCTCCCATCAACCGCTTACCGCTTATATGCAGGGCACCGCGACAGCGAGGTGAAAACCTGCGAGTACACGGGATTTTGTCGTGCCCCTTAATTTTTTTTACGGACCGGGGTGAGATGCGGGGTTTGATCGGACAGTTTTTTCCGCCTCGGCCTGTATTTTGACGATTATTTTGCGGGTCGGGACGAAATGCGGTGTCTGCTAGAGTTGCTCTAAGCTATTTAGGTAGCTAGCTCGTGGTAGTACCAAACCAGCAATTTGTAATTTAGCTTGTATCAAGAATGTTTTGCATGGAGTAACTATTTATATCTCTTTGTATAACTGCAAATCAAAAAAAAAGTAGGGAACGAACATTCAGGATTTGGGCTCACGCCGATCTGGACACGCGAGGGAAGGGCAGCTTCACTTAGAATCGAAGACTTCGAGTAAAAAAAACGATCATTTTTTTCTGTATTTGCAAACAGGCCGATGATGGAAGAACAGAAAACGGAAGAGGGAAATGTCCACCGTTGAATTTTCGGACGCGTTTGGTTACCCGCATCATTTCTTTCCACTTTGCATACTTTTCTCAACTGGGTCTAACTAAGCATATGTAGGCTAAAAACCAACATCTACACTTAGTTTGGTTGCCTGTATCCCCTCTAGTCTGCATGTGCTCAAACTCAAGCCATGTTGTTTGATTGCCGACTTGTTTGAGGGGAACCACAAGTCCGGTTGTTTGGTTACACCCAGGACTGTTGTGTGGTAACCTCCTCCATAATGCGGTGAGGTTACCAAAGACACACATGAACTACTGAGAACTAAACTAGGAGCAACAGAACAATCTTAGGTACAAACACAAGTCTTAACCCCGCATCACAAGTTTTAAACGAACATAGTATGATAAGTCTTAAACGAAACCCAAGTCTTAAACCAAGGACCAACAAGGAACGAGCAACAAGAGCTCAGGCGGTCACGGCGAAGACGTTGTCGTGCTCCTTGCACTTGGTGACCACCTCCACGCCCTCGTTGTTGAAGACAATCACCTTCATGGTGTCGGGGGTCGGCAGCTTGAACGTCAGCATGTACCCGATCATGATCTGGTGAACGGCAGCGAAGGTGGCCCAACCCTGATCAAGGGTGACCCTGTCGTTGATCACCCTCACCGTCACCCTCCCTGCACAGTCGGTGTTCGTCCTGAGCTTGAAGTCTGTAGGGATGGAGGGGAAGTGCTTCGTGAAGTCCAGAGGCAATGGCAGACTCTCCATCTTTGAAGGAAGGATAACCTTGCATAAGTGGTTTGGTCCTGACTCCTGATGGTAGTGGCCATAGTTTCTCCACTTGGCGCTTGGGTGATCCTGCACCGGCACTTCCACCAATGGCGGCACGACCTCTTTTCCCTTCTTCAATGGTGGCACGACCTCCTTGCCCTTATCCATCTGCATTATGAATAGCACGTAGTTCAATGGTCAACACTCATTCATATTGGCCTAACGCTCCTATATTAACCCACCCTACTAACCCAGCAGCGCACTCAAACCCCCTCTGATTCACCACCTCTCCTCTTCCACCCAACTCTCTGTTTCACCACCTCTCCCTTGCCATGAACTCCAACCCCAACCCCAACCCTTTCCGCTGGGGCATTGGATGGAGGGCCTTCTTCCTTGGGTGCTCGCTCGGTGACTGCAAGAAGTCCGAGCACACCATGGAAGTGTGCTCGAACTTCAGCAACATCGATGGCATGCACAAGGAGGCCGATGATGTGATGAAGAAGGCTACGCCGGATGAGCTGAAGACACTGATTTCGGACCCAGCCAAGGGCGCAAGTGGACATCCTGCGTTGGGCCATGAATCAGGCAGACTCCGGCGACGCAGGACAGCGGGCAAGATGGGCCAAGTATAGGAAGCACAATGCGCCTCAAGACCAGCATGTCGCGACGTACTGGAGTAGTACGTTCGGGTCGCGGAAGGCAGACAATGACGAGGTGCAAATGGTGGTCAGGGCGCCCGCGTCAGGCGGCCGTGCAAGACCCATTGTTCTTGATGAAGACGATGAGGAAGAAAAGAAGATGGCTATGCCCTCCCCCCACACGCCCCTCGACGCGACTGCAGGGCCGCCGCGGCTAGACAAGACAGTTTGTACCCCAATCCCCACCCCAATGTAATCAAAAAATAACCTATGAACCCTAGTAGCCGTCAATGCAGAATCG